GGCATGGCATCAATTGACACACGTTCTCCATACTTAGTGAATATAGGGGACACATCACTTACTGCGCTCACAACGGACTGCTGCTTCCTGCCCCGGATCATCACTGATGCTCTGTTGTTGCCATCGCTCTGTCAATACCACAGAGTGACGAAGCGGTACGGATATGAGATTATTATAAAAATTCGGTACACTAATCGTCACAGAATTGTGGAGAGGAATTCCGATAGTTGACAAAGGAATTTGAAGAGAAATTAGATAGGCAACAAAGGAATGGTTAGAGGAATTCGATAACCGATACAGGAATGTGGCGAAGAATGCAGACGGAGACTCCAGCCTATCGGCATCCTTCCACGTACTTCAGTTACACACATCATACTACATACTTGCACCCCTTACCCCTCACCAACACACTCCCTTCGACACACATGTACATCACTATATACACCCCCCCCTATCACACACCTTGGATGGCTTCCTCTCTAGTCCCGCGCCCACTGTGAAGATAGTCTGCACAACAGCCATCTGCGAGCGTCCCACCAATCCCGCCAGTGTGTCGGGGGTACGCTCTTTGTTCTTCTCAATCCACAGAGTGGCGTCGTACGTCACCTTGCCGGCGTAGTGCTTAACGGAGAGGGTGTTCTTGCACTTTTTGTCCTTGCTGTAGTAGGCGTTACGCTTCAGCTTCTCGTCAAAGTTGTGGATGAGACTGTCCACGTTGCTGGACCCTGTATATGAGTGAGGGGCGTGACGTAGGTGTCACGTGGGTGGGTTTGCCAAAAACCCAGCACGCAATGAGAAATAAAAACCCTGAAAGCCTAAAACCTGCACGCAATGAGAAATAAAAACCCTGAAAGCCTAAAACCTGCATGCTATGAGAAGTGTGGGTTGTCAAATGTCGTAATCACGCGATACATGCTGACAAAGCAAACCCAATCGGTGTCATCCTTCTTGCTCAAGGTCTAGGGTTTTAAGGGTATAGGTCTTAGGGTGTAGGTACATCATGCCCACTTCGTTTGTTCTCTGAAACCAGTGGCAAACTCGAAGCAGGAAACTGACCGGCCCTACCCCTTCTAATGAAAGCACGCAAACACACCAAAGCAAATTAAGGTTTTAGGGTTTAGAGGATTTTAGCTATGTACCCGTCACAACACACAGCCATACCCAACTGGCACTGGTCATCGCAGAGCACAAAGATACTGTCTTTCGGCCCAGCAATCATGTCCAAACAGTCCTGGTTGTCGGTGAAGTTGACCGCTTTCACCTTGACATTTTCGTTCTATGGATTATACGGAGAGGTGAGCGAATAAAAGTTACCACCACGTATCAGACGGAAGTTCTAGGGTTTTCGGAATATAGGGTTTATTTGGACAAGTGTTAGCTTCAGGTCCAAAAATCTTAGTTGTAGGTGAGGTATACCGCTTGCACTTAACATTTTAACGTTTTCTTTTCTATGTAGTGCGCGAGTAGAGAGGCAAATATAAGGTTAACATCATAAATGGCCGAAAGTAGTAGCCCACCATACCTATTTTGTTCATCTTGATTGTTGATAGGGTCATCCGCTTTCACCTTAACATTCCCGCTCTATAGAGTACACACGAGAAGGTGGCAATCACACAACTAGCATCAAGAAGTGACAGCAGTAGGCTATATCTCTACTGGGGATTAACATACGGCTCTTTCTATATTTCACGTTGTCTGTCATGCATACACGCGTGACGGCTGGCTTACCCGGTACTCAAGCTGTTCCATCTTAAACACAAAGTTGTTGAAGAAGTTCTGCAGCGATTCGTTGGCGTAGTTGATGCACATCTGCTCCAGATCGTTGACCTTGAATACCTCAAACCCAAAGATGTCCAGAAGTCCGCAATAGTGGGCCATATCGTCCGCCTCCACACACAGCTCGCCGTTGAGAGTATGGAGCACCCACTTGAACATACGTTGGTACACAGTCTGAAGGTCCATGGGAATGATTGGCCAGGGAGTATGGGGAGAGTGTGGTAGATGAGTAAGAATGATGGAACTGGTATGGGGTGGAGTGGTTCAAAGGTTTTAGTCTTTAAGCGCTTAAGGGACCACCTAGACAAAGGCTAAATGTTTCAGATATATATATATATATACAAAATTTAAATAGAATAAGTATGAGTACATATGTGCAGTCCCACACATGGTCACCGATTAGGTATCATAGCTACTTCTCATTATAAACGAAGTATTGCTACCTTAGCATCGATATATACGCACACCACAAACAAATAACACACACCTTGGCGAGGGTATCTCGGGTGCGTACGGCATCGCCTCTGCGCATGTTTGACTCCACCACATCATTGCCCGCACGTGTGATCTTCTTAGTCAAGAACTTGATCAGGTCGTTCGTTTCCAGCCCAAGAAGCGAGGCTGCAGCCGTGGCCGCTATAAGATGCAGTGAGTAGGTGGTAGGAATTGAGGATGGGTAAAAAAACAGGGGTTTGCTGAAGACATTAAGACTATATGAAACAGTGGATTGGGAATGGGTAAAAAAACAGGGGTTTGCTGAAGGAATTAAGACTATATGAAACAGAGTGTGGGCGGTAGGATTTGGGGATGGGTTAAAAAAACAGGGGCTTGCTGAAGAAATTAAGACTATATGAAACAGTGAGTGGGCGGTAGGAATTGGGGATAGGTTAAAAAAACAGGAGTTTGCTAAAGACATTGCGACTATATGAAACAGTGAGTGGATGATAAGAACTGGGGATGGGACGAAAAAGCAATATGATAAAGAGATTAAGACTATATGGAACTGTGAGTGGATGGTATGCATTGGGGATAGATGAATAAGCAAGGATATGGTAAAAAGACTGACGAAGACTATACGATGCACTAAACAGGTGGTAGGAAACATGCGCCTGCTTTCATCCATTGAAGCTCTGAGATGTATCGCCTATAATCTGCTAAGGCTTGCACATGTTGGTATTTCATAAATACCGACTGAATGCCACGGAAGGTTCCATCGCAAAATAGATTCCAACAAATGATATTAATAGCACACGTCCTGCTTTCTTTTGACTAAACGCTGTCGTAATCAATTTATAACATACATCATTAATATCATACTTGCTGTTTTCGTTGGACTAAGCGCTGTCTTAAATTAGTTTCCAACAAACAACATTAACAGCACACATACTACTGTCGTTGGACTAAGCTCCGTCGTAAATTAATTTCCAACAAACAGCATTAATTGCACACATACTGCTTTCATTGGAGACTCCGCGGATGGAGTCGGCTCCCGTAAAGTCGATATTTCCCAGATGCAGAATAGCCGCCAAAACCTTCCAGATACCCTCAATCAGCACAGGCGAGAAGAAGCGGCCCAGCGCATTCTGTAACTCGCCAAACTCCTTCTTATCGTCCAGAGTATCGAGCTTAACACATCCGCCACCGTTGAGATACCTGTGGGTGGTGGGAGTTGGGGGTATATGAAGAAGGATATACTGTCCCTCCTGGGGATTTATACACACATACATACATAAATACATATATACATCAAATACAAATATATATATACACACACACACACAACGCTCAGCTCTAGAGCAGATCCATACCTAAAACCATTGGTGGTAGTCCCATTGAGTTGGAGAGTGTCGAGAATTCTTTTATCCTCACACGCTAGCAGTTGATAGAAAATGTGGAAATTCCTCTCGGTTTCGGCCTGTGTTTATTCGGTCCATAATAAAATTACGATAATATGAGATGTACTACTATTCATATACATATACTAACAACCAACACCCTAAGCGTACACACTTACACCCGAGAGACTCAGTCTCAATACACATACTTACACCTATCAAACCTACGCATACACACATGTACCTGAGAAACTCAGTATCCAATTATATACCTACACCCATCACCCTAGGCTAACTCGTATACACCCGAGTCAGTGCTTGTTCCTACCTGGTGCACAATTCGAGTCTTTTCCAAAAGATAGTCGCACATCTTCGCACCGATCATCACACCCAGCGAATCGAATTGTATCTCCATGAATTTGCCCTGAGCGTATGAGAGGGTAGAGATGAGGCGTATGGTCTCAGACGTACGTATGAACTCTATACGTGTAGCACAGATATCCTACTTCATACTTAAAGTATGAACTCTACATATATATCACAGATGTCCTACTTCATACTTACAGTATAAACTATACGTATAGCACAGATATACCATTCCGTACGTACAGTATGCACTGTATATGGTGCAGATGTCATTACTTAGTTTATATATACACGTCGATCAACTGATCGCCTCTTTCTTGGTTCTATGTACAATGAGAAACATAGAAGTGCAAGATGATCGAAATACGCATGCACTGAAATTTGCAAAGCAATGGGCTAAACCAGACGTCTCATTTCAGACGCGCACGAGGCCATTTATGAAGGTTATGGGAAATTGGGGTTGCAACCGAGCCAAATTTTACTTACAAATCGGGATGAGTTATGATTGTGGATAGTTTTGGCATTTCCGAAGGCCTCCAGGATCGGGTTGCTCTCCAAAACTTTCTTAGGTATCTCTGACAGAGCATGGCCTGTTGAGTGAAACAAAAGATTGTTAGATGTTAGTAGGATCAACGGTTCAATCGAAGGTTTGATCTATTCATATATATATATATATATATATATATATATATTACGTAACGATATGATACGCGACCTCCTAATATGTTGCGCAAACATGTACATATATATAAAACACATACATATACATACATATATATATATATACAAACACACACACACAAACACACACACACACACACACACACATACTGAGACTGC